CGTGTACTCTTTTAGTTCTAATTCATCAAAATGAACAGTAGAATATCTTGTGTATTTACTTAGTATATGATACTCTTAGTACTACTTTTATGAGTATAAACATTAGCATAATATAGAGAATCTCAGTAGATATTTCATTCAACATTTTAACTGTTTTGCAGCAGCCAGTAATATTTACCAAAAGTAAAATTTCACATTCCATAATCTATCTGTAAATGACTAGATATTGCCTACTTGTGTACAAGTTTTCCATTTTTCCAGAAGAGAAAAGGCCTTTAAAGTCAGCAAGTACTCAGACAGTCAGCCAAGTTCCTTCAATTACTATTTCCAGGTTAGTTGGAATTTGTAGAAAGTTGTTGTTTTAGCTTTTAATAAATGAATCTTTTTTGATAATGTATTAAATAGTATCTTTGTTATCTGGCAGTAGTTAACTACTGCTTTCAAGTTACAGTATAGACATGTTTCTAATATTTTATAAAAATGTTCATCATACCCAGTAAGAGTATCTAGAACCTTGGATGTCGGAGGATGGAACCTTTCAAACATTAAAAATAAGCTGAAGTTTTTTTAAATTATACAAGTAATACTGGACTTCAGTTAACTAGCTAATAAAGTAGATAAAACAGCTTCTTTATCTTAATATTTTTCTTGGAAGTTATAGTGACTACAAGTATTAATTTAGAAGTATGTTATTTGTAGCTTTGATTTGTCTTGTTGAGATCTTCTGTCTCTAGAGGTTTTGATCTGGATGATCTGTTATAACACTTTTTCCTTACAGTTAATGGCCACTGACAAAAACAAGGGTGAGGAAAAAGTCATTAAAATATCACAAATGCTTCTAAGAAATTGTGTAATTTACGAAGTTATTCCTTTGAAACTTCTGAATCCTCCGGCGGTCAGTGGTAGATTTATAGACTTACATTGCTGAAATTAAGGGTTTGATTCCCAGAGGTGGAGAGAGTACATGTAACACTTTTATAGTTTTGCACTAAAACAAATAAACCAAATTATAAAAAGATGCTCAAAAATTTTTTAATTCTTTTACAAAGAACTTTTAAGAAGCTAATCATATTTTAGCTCCAAATATTTCCTTTTTATTTTGTTCATTGTAAAAGTTGTATTGAAACACTTGACCAAGTTAGTAGAAAATAATGTCCAGATAAAGTAGTGTATAATTTTTCAGGTCACATACTAACAGACCATGAAAAAAAAAAACTGCTATTAAAAGGACAGTTAAAAATAGAAAATTGTGTTACTGCATTTCATTTATTGTCACAACAGCTCTTATCTGATCAAGTCTTTCCTGAAAATGAACAGTTTGATTTCATGACAGTAAAATTACTGAAGTGATTTTGAATTCGTTATATAATCTATAAATGTGAATTTCAAGCTTTAAAAAATTTCAGAGATAAACACAACCTTCTTATTACAAAGCTGTATATTATGCTAAAGGCATTTCAATTCTTGAGAAACAAGATTATGCTAACAAATCTTAAGATTTTGTGAGATAGTGAAACAATTGAAGTTTTAGGGGCAAATCCAACAATATCATATTAAACTAAAGATAGCTTTTATTTCTTAAAAACAAAATATTATAACTCAAGATATTAGGCCAACTAGCATGCATAGAAGAATATTTTATGAAATCCAAAATATTTCAAACAGAATTACCTAATCACACTTATTGTATCACACACTGGCACATAGCACAGTTGATATACACTCACACTGACCAATCATTTTGTATATTTATTACAAAAACTATATCAGTAAGATGGTGATATTTTGACTGTTTTCATAGAAACCAAACATGTAGAAAAATTTCAAGTTTTCTAAAATTAACAAAAGAGGAATATATAGTTTAGTGTTGAATATTCAAGAGAAAATAAACTTCCTTCATAAGGATGTAACTCAACCAATAGTTGTGAGATAATGCTACATCATAAACAAATATTCCAGGTTGTACAAAACTTTTGACAGCTATATAAAATATCTGACAACCATCATGACAAATAGGCCATATAAAATTGCTACCTCTGAAATATTGCTAAAGAAAATTGAATTAGTATAGAATAAAATAAAATAAAACTGAATGATTTCCGCAAACATTAAAAGTGAGCAGTTGATAACACAGTTGCCAAAAGCTAACACCCCTAAAGAGAAAATGAAACCAAACTAGAAATTTGCCTTGTTACTTTTTACTTTTACTATCAACCATTTCAAGTGTTGTAGTAACTGGAAAATAATAATGTTTGAAATTAGATTCATTTTATCAGCTCACTTTATTAGATATTCTTCAAAATTACTGTATGTACAGGGCAATGACAAACACATTGTCATCAGATTTAGCTAAACATGCTGTATTTTCAGTACAATTGCAAATCTTCAATTGAAGGAATGTAGGATGTTAGTCACATTACATTATTTCAAAATGATAAATAGAGATAATAACAAACATTAATCACACATCAAGAAAACAATTCTAATTTATCAACTTGTTTAAATTTCAGGTTCAATCCGACTGTAAGCTATGCTGAAGATAACCTGTCTGGGTGTTTTAATAACCTCGAATCTGTACATTGCAGTTTCAACATGACCTCCAACAGTCTGAATCCTTTGAACTCCCTGAGCCTCTTAGGTAAGCTTAGTATGTTTTTCATTTTACAAATTTTCAACAATGTATTACTGAGGAAAAGTATTATAATTTAACATATATTGATATAATTATCTTAAACACATAATATAAAATAAAGATTACAGTTGTGTAATAATGATGGTATTTTAGATTAATTTTTATTACAGTTCTTTTTACTGAAACTTGTATTGCATTCTACAGAGATTAAGTTATATATAAAAACAATTTTGGAACCTTGCCCTGTCCAATCCTGCTGCTTGAAAATCATGCATATTGACAATAGCCCTGTAAAAGGCTCTGTTCTGAGGCTTTCATGTTCAGATCACACTCCTCTTTCCTGCAGCTATCCATAATCCATCTTGTGTTTAAGAACTGCAGTTTCCCATTATTTCACAATTCCAATCACAAAGAAATCCATGGGGCTACATGGAGCAACTTTATAAAAGATATCCACACAGCCCAGGCAACAGTATGCATGATAATCAAGAAGGATCTCTGTATGAAAAAGTGACATTTTCCATAATATATCAATCCAACCATTGCATACCTCAAGATACTGGAGAATGAAATGGGTAATCATGCTATTACATAAAAAGACATACCCGCACTGACCTTTGTGTTTGTGGATTCTCACCTGTTACAAGATTTTGCTTACCTTGACTAGGGTATGAGTTGTTGCCACTCTTTCTGGATGGTCCTGGTGCCGGAAGTTGATCCATATTCCTTTGTTTTTCAATGCGATTAAGTACAAGGGATATTCATGTCTTTGAGATTGTAAATCCTCAATCTGAACAAATATCTATGATTTGTGTTTATAAATATTTTGCATCAGAAAGGGTTACTACATACCCATCCCCAAAAGTGATCAGTTTTTCACTACTTAAAGAATGCCAAGCAATATGAAATATAATTCTGATACATTTTTCTCCACCATGACTTTACATAGGCTATGGTTGTCACTTGGCATAATGATTTATTTATTCAAAATCCTTTTCATATATTGTATTCAGTACTGCTCCTTAAAATACTATCATCTTTCCAGGCATCTAATGTTTTTGTTATTGTATATGTAAAACCTAAATGTATAAAAACATCTTCTGTGATAGAATTATCAATTTTCAGATACAGAGAAAAATTTTAATGAACTGTCTTCTTTCACATTCACTTTATATTTCATGTATTTATACAAAGTGATGCACAATAAAAAATGTTATATAACTTTGAAAAATGACATTTTTCTCTTGTGTTGGTTTTGTATTCCAGTACACTGATGTCCTACTGTTAAATTATAGGAAACTGCACTATACAACAGATTCAGAAAATGTTTTCGTCAGAGAATAAATTAAAAAATGAACGAAATAGGAAAATTTTAACACAAATATATATAATGAACACAAAAATCTATTGGCCACACATAGTAACACAAAGAAAATTGTGCTGGGGGTTTTTCTTTGACTACTAGTCGTCTTTTGAATACGTTTTATACAACAACTCTTGGATATTGGAGCTTGAGAAATGTCTACATAAAACAAAGACTAGGGCAAAAATAACAATAATACCATGCTGTTAAGTCAGTATGTAAGTGTTTTGTGTGATATTCCACAATCCTAAATTATCTGCATCCGAGTTTAAAGTGGCTTTTGAAATTCTTTAGCTAATTCAATTTGAAATTTTGGAGCCAAACTTGAAAATCCTATAACCAAGTCAAACAGTAATGTGTATGTTGTAACTTTTTAAAAATTATTTATTTTTTCTTAAAACTTTATTGTACAAAAACTGATACCATTGTACCAAGCTTTTTCATTTATTAGCATTTACTAACACTGTAACTGGCTTGGTGATTTGGAAAATGTACTGTGAATTTTCTGTTCGAGTGCCCGCTGATTTTTCCAAGCCTGTTCCCTTGGCTGTGGTTTCGCTAGATAGTAGATAGGAACAGTGGGAATCTCGTTAATCCATTCATATTAGTGTAGTTAGTTGTTACATACTATTTTTAATGTTGTACAAAAAGTAACCATAAATTAGTTAAGCATGCTGGTGTGCTACCAAATCCTACCCCTGTGACAGTAATGCACATGCATGTAATATTAACGAGTACAATATAAACATTCAGTGTTATAAAAAAATAATGTAGGCTTACAACAATGATAATGAAACATGTTATCTTGACTTTCTTTGGGTAATTTCTGTTGTTTTTATGTTTGTCTTTTCACTTGTACTACAAAGCCCTTTCTCCATTTCTATGTCCACCTCCCTCTGCTTAACATAAAAACAAAATGTACCATTCATAAAAACATCGAAGGATACTTGTCTTCAGAGGTGAAATTCTCCACAAAAAAAAAGTATAGGTACTCAGGCAAATGAAGTGGACCTGTTTTTGAAAAAATTACAATTTGAGTGTCAATGAATAAATGGTTCTAAAACGTACATATATTGTTACACAGAATTAATAAAATAAATCAAAAGCAGCTCAAATAAGTCCTGGTACTCAATACCAGTTTATGCTACTGTACTTCTCATGATGACTACACATAAAAAAAGTTCTTTAAGTGAGTGTGTGTACTTACGCATTACGTGATAGTAAATTTAGAATATGTATGAGTAACAGCTTAACCCCTGCCTACATTAATGACTGGATATTTACCATTTATACATATTCCAGGAAGATAAATCCCCAGCTCATAATAACCTGTGCTAGATTTTGTACTACACCTCAGCTTGAGTATGACCCCAACCCCAGGGAATAAATGATACAGAAACAGTCTCGAGCAAGTATAAGTCTTCACAGCTGTGGTACATAACTTTTGTGAGCTAGAGGCTTAGCTCACATGAATTACTTTCTATATCCTATGTATAATGACACCAATAGAATAAATTTAGGAATTTCTACACAGAAATTTTACCTGCATAGTTGTGAAAGGATTTAATATAGTGATTCTTTCAATGAAAACTTTTCCAGGGCCTTTCTATACTCAAACTTTAAAATTATTCATTAATGGCCAAATTAAAAGTCTTTACTTTTTATTAGACCATATGTATGGTGTCATGATATTTAAACACAAACAAAGGAAACATTATTGTATATAAAGGCCTCAACAGCTAGCCAAGAATAAACCAAACAAAAAGTACAATTAAAGGAAATAAAATGAAATAAAATTGCATACAGAATCTAGATTAAAACTGGACATAATAGGAAATTAAGTTCAACATTAAATTAAATATATACAAAGATAAGTAAAATTAGTACAAATGAACATACTGCCAAATTAAAATATAGAGTATTTTCATTTATTAAGTAAACTCAGAATAAGAACTGAATTTAAAGTAAAAAAACAAACAAATTAAAACAATACTGTTCTGAGGGAACTTGATACAGTTGGAGCTAAAATAACATAAATATGAAAAGAAAACCAGTCAGTCAGTAAATGAAATAGGACAAAATTCAACAAAACAAATTAAATACAACTGAAAAAAAAACAAACAGAATTTATGATAATGAAAATGAAATCAAATAGCAAACTGAAAATGCACATATGTTGTGTGAGTGTAGAACTGAAGACAAAATTAAATACAGACCAGAATTTAAGATCAAGAAAAATCAAATCAAACAGCAAACTGAAAATGCACATATGTTGTGTGAGTGTAGAACTGAAGACAAAATTAAATACAGACCAGAATTTAAGATCAAGAAAAATCAAATCAAACAGCAAACTGAAAATATATGTGAATGAGAGCGTATAATGCACAAAATATTTACAAATCATTTTTAAGGGGAGGACAGAAAATTATTTAGGTTCTCGTTAGAAGTGGTCTCCTTAAAGCCTCTAGCCTGAATTCCCCTATAGAGCTGTGTTACCTCCTGCTTGAGCAGGAAGTTTTCAGCTATAAAATACGGGTTATGGCAAAATTCTCTCCAGAAACCATGCTTCCACTCGTCTGATGGCTTGGTCCTGGCAATGACATTTTTTACTCTGGTATGTCAGCACATACTTCAATAATTCAGTGTTTGACGTCAGTTTCCCATTTAACTTCTTTGAATTGGTTTCTGGCCTAAAATACAGGTCACATTTACACAATTCTGAAAGTGAAACAGGCTCTGGTCTCGTGTCTGGTTATCTGAATGGGTTCTTACAAGTCTGTTAGTGCCTAGATTAAGAGTGATTTACCCATATTAGTTAGTCTCCAAATGGTGAAGGCTCTCATTTTCTCTATCTTGTTTTATTCATTATCAAGGAAAATTTTGCTAAGAATATTTAAGATTTAATTGTATTTTCTTTGAGTAATATTTATATGTACTTTGAGCCTTCATGTAGTGTGGTTAATTTTTGTTTGTCATCTTCGTTTCAGCTTGGTAACATCATTTTCCAGTAGTTGTCATTTTTAAGTGGGTAAATTATACTTGTTTCTTTTTGTGTGACTGCTTTGTCAAGTTGCTTCCAACATGTATCATGGTCACTTAGGAGCTCTTGGTGTTCTTCCAGTACAGTAATAGGTCTCAATTAGAGTTTTGTCACCATGATGTTTTATTACGTTGTCTAATGTATCTCATATACTTCTTTTGGCTTGTTTTACCTTTTCTTGGTGCATCAGTCTCTCTTGCCTCTTTTCTTCCATGTATTGTACTTGCATGTCACCATGTGGATCATGTACAGTCCATATCATATTAGATAATTGATAAATCTTATGATGTTAATGTCCTTCTGTGTTGATGCAGTTCCTTATTAACTACTCCAGGCTTATGATTAAAATATCTAGCAACTGCTTTTAATTTTTTAGAAGAGATTCTATCGTCAGTACCCTTATAGGCATAGTGTATATGTTACTTTTTGTTTTCTCCTGTTCCTGTGCTGTGAAGAATCCTGGTTGGGCTGTGTTTGAATTTTTTTTTGTGCTTCTTCTATGACTGATTTGACAAACATATAAAATTCTGCTTGCTGGAGCTGGGCAATGATTGAAGCTTGGCAGAGTCTTGTAGGTTCTTCATTTCCATTTATGTTTTCTCTGTTTCATGTTCCATGTGTTGCGGGGAGTTCTCCTGGGGAGCTGGCTATTCTTTGTTTAGAAAGAGTTGGGCTGCTTCTTGTAACAGGTGTCTCTCTTTAATTTTTCTTAGCTTCTTTATGGTTTCAAGTGATTCTTTGTACACCTGAGATTACAGCTTAATTACTAATGTGTAGCATTGTATACACTATGTGTGTGTGTATGTTGGAAAAAAAGGTAGTTATTGCCCGTGATCTACAAAAGTTAAAATTTCCAAATGACCTGACCTGCTTCATAGGTTTATGTTTTTGGATAGAGATACTTCCATGGAAATGGTTGTAAGTCATATGTTGTCAGTTTTCAGTTGGTTATTTTCATATGAATAACCAATGAAAAGTTCCTCTTTGAGGATGGACCAGGTATGGCATAGTGGTTAGCATGTCAGGTTTTGAAAATGTTCCACAGCTGTGGAAATAATGAAAGTAAATTCTAATATTTCATTCAAAAATCTCTTATTGTGGCAGGTGCTGTTGGCTGGTTGCCTTTCCTCTAGACAGTATTCAAAATTAAGAATGATTACATCTGAATCCAAGGGGTCTCTGACCTGCCTGGTTGCCCATGTGCACATAAAATGCTTGTCAGGTTAAAAATTCCATTTCCTGTTTGAGGTGACATTAATTTTCTAGTTTTGAAATGTACCCATCAATAAAAAATACTGACTATGAAGCTTTATTAATAGCAAAAAAATCTGAAACACAAGTCTTACTGTTATTGGAATTGATCCTATACAAATATTAGACAGTTTGCAATAACAATTAGGAACTCTAGTGTTGAAGCCTTAAAAGTTTTATTTGAATTTAAACAATTATCTTGCTTTTTAAATATCAGTTTATGTGATCCTTTTAGCAAGAACAGGTAATGAATTTCCCTGTGAAGATGAAGAAGGACAGTTCATGGACAACACCAACCTGATAGACCTAAAAGCTGGAAGATGCAAGGTAGATGGAGGGAACTGGCGGCGTCTCACTGAACTTCAGCGACGAAACACACTGTGCCTGCCACATCTGAAAACATCGTATCCTGTGGAGACACAAATGCATGACATCAGAAACTTTCCCGATGATGCTTTAAAGGCAGGCCCTGTCATTGAAGAGCCATTTATATTAAGAGAACGAACTAATAAACTTATGTCTGATCGTAGAATGACTTTGGCTATTTCAAACCTAACAGCAGACAAGGTTCACACTTCCCCAACTGGAAATAAACGTAAACGTACAGATTCCACTGAGTCAGAATCTTCCATTGGATCATTTAAGGTAGAGTAAAATAAGTTGAGAGAGATATAAAAATATACTTAGGTTAGCTGTCATTGCGTTCTGTTTGAGGTCGTTAGTTCTGACATGAAGATTAACTGGTAGTGTAGTTAATTACACCCACAGATATACTTGGAAGTAATTATTTGTGTAGGTTTGAAATATTTTAATTTAAAAAAATGCCTGAAAGTATACTGTTTGGCATCTACTCTAAATCAACTGAACAGTATAGGTAAAGAAAATATACTTACAGTAGATATTTCTTCTTTTAAACTTTATTTTATTATTATTATTAGATAATGTTCTGCTACTTAAATATATATATATATATATAGACACTCACAGATATATTTAGAAGTTTTCAATAATTATTTGCCAGCAAGTCTAAGTTTGAAATTGAAGCATTGACCAAATGTCAGAGCAAGAAGAGGTAAAAAAATATATACTTATAATAGATATTTTTTCTTTTAAATTTTATTTTTATTATTAAATTAGTACATCCACAGGCTTTATTAAGACTGGTTTCCAGTCTCTTGTCAGTAGTTCAAAATGATTACATCTGAACCCATGAGGCTTGACCCAGCTGGTTGCCCCATGTGCTTTTCAGGTTAAAAATTCCAATTTTTAAGTTAATTGTCAGAAAATGCAATATTGATATTTAAATAAATTCTCAATCTTGATTTCTCACTTCTAATTGTCCATGTTAGATTTGTCTGCATAACATGAGACCCTTCTAATTGTCCATGTTAGATTTGTCTGTGTGACATGAGGTCCTTCTAATTGTATATCTTGATTTGTCTGTGTAACATGAGGCCCTTCTAATTGTCCATCTTGATTTGTCTGTGTAACATGAGGCCCTTCTAATTGTCCATCTTGATTTGTCTGTGTAACATGAGGCACTTCTAATTGTCCATCTTGATTTGTCTGTGTAACATGAGGCCCTTCTAATTGTATATCTTAATTTGTCTGTGTAACATGAGGCACTTCTAATTGTATATCTTGATTTGTCTACGTGACATGAGGCACTTCTAATTGTCCATCTTTCTACCATTACATGATTTCTTGAGTGTCTAAATAAATTACAAACACATACTATATATTCTGACAATTCAGAATAAAAATTAAGAACTTCTAATCTACCTGCTTTACTGAGATATTTTTAATGAAAAAGCTAATTAAATTATAGAGACATTCTGTTTTAGTGTGTGATATATTTCGTTTATGTCTAAAATGCATACTTGGAATAAACATGAATAATTTTTGGGGACAACCAACTTTGTCACAAAAAAGTAGGTTAAGCATGCCTTACCCTTGACAATTACAAAAGCCCATAAGTAGTAAATGCTGCTTTTTTATGTTTAGTTTTTGTTATAAAATTAACTAAAATGTAAAAATTTGGAACTTATTATAAATTTGTTAACTTAAATGAAAAAAAAGATATATTTCTTGTTATACTCAATATTCTGTATTAAGGCAACTACATGCCCATAGCACAGCGTGATTGTAACTCAATTGTTTGTTTACACAAAGTTGTTCCCCAGTGATAAATAATTGAAAGTTCCCTGAGATGGTCTAAGTAAAGCTGTAAAGCAATAAAACTAAATGAAACCAGATAGAAAAAGGCTGTAGCATAGATAATAAGAATAAATAAGTGTAATTACTTGTTGCATTATTTATTCTAAACAAGTTTTATTTGTATTTCCCAACTTTTCATTTTACTCTGCATTGTTGATATCACTATAGTTAGTGTTCAGTTAGGAAGATAAGAGATAAAATATACAGTTTTACTGAAAAAAACAACATGATATTCATTTAGGAGGTTCTGGAGATTATGAAAGTGAAATATCAACTGTGAGATTAAAAGGATTATTTTTATTATCATCATAACAATCACCTTTATCTCAGACTGACTCACTAAAGGCTTCGTAAATTCACAGACAAATTGATTTTTTGTGCACAACAGACTTGTAATGTTTCATAAAAGACTGGCATACTTTGTGAAGATACACCTAATACATTCAGGGTTACAGTATTTATAATTTCATGGTTACAGGGTCAGTCAAAAATGATCAAGCCCACATGTATATAGCTAGAATTGACTGCCAGTATCTGCCACCAACTTTGTTTAGTTTGAGGTGTAGGGTACTAATTGTTTAGCAAGCACCGCTAGCCACCAAGCTATATATGTGTGGGAGAACATAAAATTGAAAACAAAATAATATATGTATATTAAGGTAAAAGAGAAATTAAAAAAATGGGGATTTTTTTTTCCTAGCATGTATATTTGTTTGTCTTTGCCATTGAGGGGAAAAAATTAACATTTTAAACTGAATTACTTGTTACCAAAGCTTTCAAAAGGAATTATTAAAAACATATAATGTAAGGTGAGCACTGAACTTAAAAAGTAAGACTATAACTAAGCTCATATAAAGATTTTGTATGGTTTTTGGAATGTGTTTCAGTAAAAATGTAACAGGAAAATTATGAAACTATCAAGATAATGCCTGAATAGTAATAATGAAGCCCATGTGATAAACTGAAAAACATTAGTTGGGGAATGGTTTATATATTGTTTGCACCAAATACAATTTTCTTCTATCACAAAGTACATAATCTTTATTCTCTGCATAAAAGTTTGGAGATGGCTTGAATGGGTAATTAAGAATGTGGGTTCCTCATCATCAAATTTAAATTACTTTGCATGTTTATATGGTTTGCGAATATGACAGACTGAATTATTTTCCCCCAACCACAATAAAGAAATTAATAAAATGTGTAAACAGTACGGGCATGAACCTGTAAAAGTCGCAGAGTTTAAAAAAAGATCATAAAGTTTGAGAAAGTTAATAAAAATTATCTGTATTTATATACACATGCAAACTATGCTGCTTAGTCATACTAATAAGTGTTATATTTGTAACATAGTCTTGATCAGTTACTATATCTGGTGATAATTATCTAATTCATTATATCTAACAATAGGTTAGATCAAAATATATGTTAATACAAATGTAACATTTTACTGCATACCATCAACTTGTAAAGTCTTCATTTGAAAAGTGTTTTCTGTAGTATCATACTCTGAAGCTTTAATTACTCTTCATTACTAGACTGCCCTCTAAATTAGTGTTAAACCCTTCCGTGATTTGCCCAAGATAACATGGGTGTCCTCCATGTTATAAAAAATATTTGCCCACGTTAATTTGGAAAAATCATTTATTGTCATACTACTTCTTATTTGCCTGAATCTATTCACGGTATCCTATATTACAATGTGCTCTTAGTAAGCAATAAAAAATGCTTTTTTTTTAAGCTTATTTCCCAAAAACTGACAGGGAAGGGGTTAATTTTGAACAAAAGTTGAAATATTAATGTGTTATATGTGCAAGTTTGCAGATCTGGAATTTTACACGAAAAGGATTCGTATGTGCAAGCCACCCTGCACAATTGGATAGTTTGTTTAAAAAAAGTGTGTGTGTGTGTGTAAGTATATATATATATTATAGAAAAAAATCATTATTTTCTTATTAATATTATGTAACCCAAAAGTATCTGCAACGTCTTGCAAACAACTAAATAATGTTGGAGATATTCATCTCTGGCGGCATGGGAACGTCCAGCCGTATCTGTCATCACGATGAAATCTCATCTTACGAGTATTTTTATCATATCAGCTTTTCATTTTATCACTGGATGATACAAGCTATAATTTGATCTGTGGAGATACCATCATGTTCTTTCTACATAGAGGTAGTATAAACATTTGTTAAAAATCATTATCATTGTGATGCCCTGTAAAATAGGTGAAGGATGTTTTTAAAAGATGAATGACAATGCTGTTCATCACGCTTTTATTGTTGTACAGAAATGTAAGGTCAAACTCGCTGATCCACGAATACTAATGTGTTTTTTGTTTTTTTTATTAGGGAAGGGGTGCACCACTACAGCCAACTTATTCTAAACCTGGACCACCTACCCCTGGAAAAACCCGATTGAGCAAACAGCAGTTGGCATCATCCATCTCTCCAGCTCCATTCAGTAATGCTTCTAAAATTTTTAAGACTCCCTCTAGTATCAAGAAGAAATTAAGAGAACGTTTTAGTCGTACTCCAAAAGAAGGGAAGAGTTCTAAGTATAACAAACGGAAGCTTGGAAAGGAAAATGAGTGGTAGATAGTTCTTTATAACATTTTGTTTGTTGGTAGTATAATGTATCGTAGAGTGGTCAACTAAACTTAGTTTCAAAACTTGATTTTCATAAGTCTGCTTTTGTGTGATCAGATGTTTTTATTTTATTTTATTCAGCAGAAATAGTTGTAATATTTGAGAACAAAAGAAATTGTATTTATGTTAATGGCTAGATAGAAAATGTTTTGGATATATGTAAACCTAGCTGTTAATTAGAAACATATATTAATTACAATCATAGTAATGTACTTGGAACATTCCAATTTTTCAACTCAGAAATGTAAAAAGATTGAAATTCAGACAGCAAATTATCTATGACACTTTAAAGCTTGGGATTGAAATATCACAAAGCTTTAAAATTTCCTATTAAAGTGTAAGCTAGTTATTGTTAATTTTGGGTGACTGTCGTAGTAAATTAGTCATTTCCATGCATTAAAAATTTTTTTGATGCCTACGCATAAAGTAACATTTTTTCATCCTCAGTTGTCTGAATTTTATTATATGAGAAGTCATAAAGTAAGTTTATAATTTTGGAAGAAAGAAATTAGAGCAATTTGCACTTTAAGTATTCAAAATGACAATATTAGTTTGTCTTAGCTTCAAGTAGGCAAAAGTTATAAGTATGTAATAGTATATGTTAGCTCTCTTAAAATAACCTGTGACAATATCAGAAAGATTAGATATAGATTTTTAACCAACTCTAGTGTTTCTTACAACACAGAATAAAACCCTTTTTTATTTTTATATGCATACTGAAATGTAACGTTTTTAATTAATAAATAATATCAAGGTTTGCTTTAGGCTAGAACTGCATTTTTAGGGTTTTATATTTTATTAATGAAATTGCATTCAACAAGAAAAAACAAACATTAAGCCAGTGATAAATGTAGTTGGACATCATTGCACAAAATTTATTTTTCTGTCCTGAAAAATTTAACTTGTAAAAAAATTTAGATATTTTTCAGGCACTTAATTTTTTTAATACTTTTGCTTGTAAGAGAGAGAGAAAAAAAGCTTATAAATATTTAATAAAATGATTTTATTAAAACATTAAATGTATTATAGAGACTTTGTTATTCATATGAAACTACTAGACACACAAGAGATTATAGACTGGTTCACTTTTCCAAAAAAAAACTTGTAGAAAAAATGGATCAAGCAACTACTAGACACACAAGAGATTATAGACGGGTTCACTTTTCCAAAAAAAAGCTTGTAGAAAAAATGGATCAAGCAACTACTAGACACACAAGAGATTACA